ATTAGTAATTCCATAAAGGCTGTAAACATATTGAAGAGACTGTCCCCCCTGTTATAGGTGGCTCTACATTTTGTGGTATTGCATCATTGTGCCTCATGGGTAAACTTGAGGAAGTCTTCTCTGAAAAGGAACTGAAGAGAATAAGGAGATGGTGTATTATGAGGCAACAGAATGGTTATCAAGGAAGACCCAACAAGCCTGTAGATACCTGTTATTCATTTTGGGTAGGAGCAACTCTTAAGCTTCTAAAAATATTTCAGTACACAAACTATGAAAAAAATAGAAATTACATTTTATCAACCCAAGATCGCCTTGTTGGTGGATTTGCTAAGTGGCCAGATAGTCATCCAGGTATTTGCAGTATTTTGTTTACTTGTGTGATTATTTACGACAAAGCAAAGATTCTCTTAAAACAGAGCGGAAAGGAAATTGGGATGTTTTCTGGAATGAAATAAATTTTTCTCTCTAATTTTTCAAAAGATAAAACAGGTCTACAGATAAAAGTGATCTATTGAAGTATTTTGTAGAATCCCTCAGGCAAAATTCTGCACAAGTATTCATAGAATTGATTAATAGTCAATTATAAAAGGGAAAGTAGTGTAGGAATAAATGAATAATTGTCACAATGGAAAGAAATAAGTCTCAAGTATTTGTACAATACAGGATAATCTGGAATTGGATCATCAATGATATAGTCAAATTGAGAAGCAGTTCCAGATGACTAAGAAAACTCAAATGGATTATAAAGACTTTGATTTTTCAAAGTCTTTGAAAATTGAATAAAAGAGCGAATGAGCTAATTTAGAAAATGCAAAATGATGTATATAGTGGCAGAAAAAAAGAGTATGCAATGGTAGATATTATTTAGGAAAGATACACATTTGTGCTAAAATTTAAGACATTTTCTAGTGTAGCAAAAAACACAAGTTTCTTGTTTGGGGTTTTAAAACCTGTTATTGTAACGTTTAGAATACCCTACAATTTTCTAATCTAATCACTTCATCTCAAAAATATCAGAACATTCTACAATATTGGTATTAACCAGACTTTGAATTTATCTACAGTAGGAACCATACTCTGAAACTAGAGGTAGTCCTCAGCTTACAACCACAATTGAGCCCAAAAATTATGTTGTAAGAAATTGGTTGAGTTTGCCCCATTTTACAACTTTTCTTAACACATTTGTTAAGTGAATTGCTGCTGTTGTTAAATTAGTAACATGGTTGTTAATCTGGCTTCCCCAGATTGACTTTGTTTGTCAGAAGGTCACACTGTGGTACTGCAACCATCATAAATGAGTTGTCAAGCATCCAAATGTAAATCTTGTGACCATAGGGATGCTGCAACAGTCAGAAGTGTGAAAAATGGTATAAGTCACTTTTTATCAGTTCCATGGTAACTTACAACAGTCACAAAGTGAATTATTGTAAGTCAAGGACTACTTGTAATAAGCAGTGCCAGGACAAAGACAAATGTGATATGATTCCATTTATATTTAATTAAATTTAAGCATAGGGAATTACATTCTCTTATGTATTCAATAATTTCCTCCTTCTCCTGTGGTAATAATGTTTGATAACTATCTCATATTTCTGAGTTTCACATTGTCCTTAAAGCCTGAATTTTTAGGCTTCTTCTGTCCTCGACTTCTGAATATCTGAAATCTCATCCGTTGGGGGGGGGGGAACTATTGGAATATTATAATTTCATTCTCAATAGTTTTTAGAGTAAGAAAGATTTTTCTCAGATGAGATTACAGTACAGTGCTGGCTGATGAATTAGAAATATGAGATAGTTATCAAACATTATTACCACAGGAGAAGGAGGAAATTATTGAATACATAAGAGAATGTAATTCCCTATGCTTAAATTTAATTAAATATAAATGGAA